CAAGCCTCCTGATGCTGCTGCCTGAGCGTAAGGGGCAGGTGTGGAGCCTGAAATGAGCCCTGCCATTGTGTTTAAAGGAGAGGGGTGGCCACCAAGCCCTAAACCAGACATTTGGTTGGCACTGCTGGTCCCCGTCAAGCCAATTTTGCTCAATCCTAGTCCCAGCCCGAGTCCCAAACTGGATGCCGGGGAGGGCACGGATGTGAGCTGAGACTGAGAGTTAGGAGCTGATGAGCTGGGTGTGCTGGGTGTAGGGAGAGAGGGAGCAGTTGAGGCTGGGAGTAGAGGGTTGCTGGGTGGGCTGGGGGTGTTGTTTGAAGGGGCAGAGGGTTTTGTCTGAGGTGGCTGCTGCTGTTGTTGCTGCTGCTGTTGGTTTGGCGGTTGAGGTTGTTGCTGCTGTTGTGCAGGTTGATGCTGATGTTGCTGCACCGCACTGCTGAAGCTCCCTATAAGACTGCTGCTTGTGGGAACTGCGGGAATGCCTCCGACAACACTCGCCATGGACACGAGGGAGGAGGATGAGGAGGACCCAGAGGTGGTGGAGGAAGAGAAGGAAGATAGCAAGGATGGGGTGCCGTTCTTCACAGGTGACTGAAAATGAAAAAGCACCAGAAAAAGGCAATTCAGACAAAACTGTCCAGAGGGTAACCACTGCTGTATAAAGTGTACGAGGAGTTTACTGTGAACTATGGACGCCTATATATGCAGATGATGGTACAAACTATATCAGAAATCTCCAACCATGGTCCCACAGAGAAAAAGCTTGCTCTGTTTCAGTGCATGAGAACCCTTCAGCTTCCATGCCTCTACAGGACCAAGGGTGAAGAGCGCTGCACTAAACTGTTCATCTACTTGCACAGTACAGATGAGAGCCTCTCACCTGACTAACTTCACTGTCTGTCGATCGTCCCCTTTTCTTATCGTCCTCTGAGTTCTCCTATAGGAGGAGATACCTTGATATGACAATCCACTTTTGAAATATTGATTCAGCAAACTAGTCAGTGGATTACAACACAATGAGGCTTGTAGAAGGGTTAACAAAATGCAAACGTATATGTGAAACATTGTGCCAGAATGTACTTTTTCTACCCAGCATCCTTTTATCACACTGACCCAAGTTTTAACAGTACAGACGTAAGAACTTACAGCAGTGCAAGTGGCTGGGGATGGAGGAATGGGTGAAGAGGAGGTTGTGGAAGTGGGAGTGCTGCTGGAGTGAAGATACATCTCATCCTCCACATTGCCCTGACCTGACGGAGAAGTTGCAACTAATGCTGCAGCTGCAAGAGAAAGACAAGACAGAGACAAGCGCCAGATGTTGTTAATAAAACCAACCAGACGTCTGAGTAAAAGCCTCATCGTAAGGACCCTGACACACCAAGCAGACAGTCAGCAGTAGGTCAATGTCAGGTTGTCGGTTAGCTTCTGTTACCCTAGATTTGCTTTGGCACTAGTCCACCATTTTCAGTTGTTTTTAGCCGATTCAGCATCTTTGACCAGCAGCGGAGCCAGTCGGTGAGAAGAATCATTCTTATTTGCTGTTCTGTGTAAACAAATCAGTGCATGAGAAGAGAAAGCAAACAAACAACTCAAGTCAAAAGGGCGCGAGATTGAAAGAAACATGAGCACTTTAGGAGAAATGGTTTATAGTGGTTTGTGTTATTGTTTGCTAGCACACAAATATATTTTGTTCTTTAAGCCTCGAGTTGTGTTGTTAATGTGTTAACTAGCTAACTAGTGTCTTGAATCCGCCCCGTCTTTCGAGTTCCCTTTCTGAATGACAAATGCAACTGTCGCCTGCAGCTATGGAGTTATTTTCTCTCAAACAGGCACAGAACATTCATGCTGGTCAGTCGTAGGCTGCAGTCTTTGTGGTGTGTTCAAGTGCAACTTTTTGGCTGACACAGATGACATGAAGCGACACAACAGTCAACTTTATCACCACTAGCTCTTTGATGTCAGTTTGGTGTGTCGGGGCCTTAACAGCCCATAGTGTCTACTCACGGATGTCTTCCAGGTCTAAGTCGTCATACAAGAACTCATTCTCCTCAAAGTCTGGGTCTTGCGAGGAATCAATGTAGTATTCAACATCATCCTTGATCTTCTGGATGGCATCCACCGGTACTGAGTCATTATCAAGCATTCGTAGAATGGTCTCCAACATGCGAATGTGGAATCGATGCCTCTCAATCAACCGCTTGAGCTCATCAATACGATCTTGCTTCTACATGAAATACAGAAGACGAGCATTTGGTTTCAAACATACATTTTAGCCAAACTTTTACCAGACTACGTAGCACTACACTACACTGGATACCCTGAGGAATTTTTTTTTCCAAGTGTGCAGAAATATGCATCCCTGAAAAGAATGAGAGACGACTTACATCTTTATCGCCCTTCTTCTTTCTCGTCTGTACTGATAGGGATTCCACCTCACTTTCAAACTGATCCACCTGCATATTTAGAGTGTCTATTGTATTCTGCAGTGAGGAAGAGGTCAGAAAAAAGGAGCATTAGTGGATTCACTCAATCATTCATCAACAGTTGTAAGTTGTTGTTAGCTTTTGACCATCTTTTTCAAAACTTCATCCAGACAACTTCAGGGAACCATAATGTTAAACAGGTAATAGTGGATGTATTACTGTTAGCCACTGTCCCGTTTCCTCTTTTTCCCTCTGAGCTGGATCCACTTTCTGAGCAAGCCCCAAGCCTTCTTTAGAGTACGCTTTTGTTTTTGTTTCACGTTCCACCACCTTGAACCGCTCCATTTGCTAAGAAAAGAAAAATCACATAAGGCTTGTTAAGTTTACTGATTTTAATGACTATGTCCAAGATGCTATACTTCACAGAAACAATAAACCTAAAATGAGAAAAGATGGAGACCCATACCGTCTCTATGAGTTTGCGGTTCTCGATTAGCTGCCTTTTGTCTTTGATCTCGTTTGAGGCCACCCATGTTTTTATCTGATCTCTCAATCGCTGGAAAGAGGACAGACAATGAAAATATTTACACAACTGATCAACTTCAAATACATGCATTGTTAATGAAAAGTGCATGTAAACAGACAATGTAAAGGAAATTATGTGCTCATCTTCTCTTACCTGTAGTTTTTTAATCTCTTTCTTGAGGTCAGCCTCATATTTTTCCTTCTGGTTTGCATTGGCTGCATTGTGAAGCTAAAATGAAGACAAATAAAGGAGAAATTTTAGGTTTTGCAGCTGCGATTTTAGAAATGGTGCATCCAACAAATGCAGAATGCAAAGATCTCTTACCTTTTGCCAGATGTCTTCAAACTGTTCTACACCTTCAGCTACTTTTTTCAAACATCTATCGATCTCACCTGTGGAGATACAAGATGTGGTCCAACATCACAGCGTATTAATCCATGAAACAGCAAAGACTTTGCAAGATTAAGTCAGTCTGAGTCTCTGTGCAGGATGTGAGGCTGGACAGTGTGATGGATTCTATGAAACATCACTGATAAGTTTCACTAACAGTCTTACCTTGTAGTTTTCTCTTGTCAGCCATGGCTCTGACTACGACAATGTCCACATTCCGTCTGTCACGCAGTTAGCTATGTAAAGAAAATCAAAAGTGCATTCAAACAAAACACAAATCCCTTCAACAGATCAATCAGTACATCGTTCCCAGAGAGTGGGACTGACGTTAACTCAGGCTAGCTGGTCAGTTAACATTAGCTGCACAAATACCGTTATCTCTGACAAATTCAAGCACACCTCATACCAGAACTTTTGTTTAGTCGTTTGTCTATCGTTATTTTTTGCTGAACGTAGCTGATCTTGCTGTTACCAATATGACTGACATGGTTGTCAGCTAAAATTAGCCTGCTAACGTTACTAAGCTAACATTAACACTAGCCAGTATCTTAGCTCGTCCACCTCGCTCGGTTACCAACTAGCCCGTTTCAAAACAAGTACCACAGCGCATATTGATGGATGGAAGTCATATTCATGCATTATTATTAAGGGGTACAGCATAGCTTTTATATGGTGGTTTTGCATTGTGAAAGGCACAATATATCAGAATCCATTCTAAGCGTTAACCTGCTAGCTAATATGGCTAACTGTCTGGCTAGCTAATGCATAAAATGCTAGCTAGCAGCTTAGCTATCCAGCTAGCCAAATTTAGGAAAAAGGGAAACTGGGTCAACCCAAGCATTTAGATTTGTATTTGTTTACGACATTTACCTAGGGTATGGGCTTTCGTTTGTCTTTTTTCAAATACAGCCAAAACTATTTCCAGAAAGTCTTCTTTACTTCCAAATTGTGTTTTCTTTTCGACAAGCTCGCTCACTGTAATGTAGCTGAAGATGGACGGTAGCTAAAATCCCACCTCCGCGTTTAGGCCCCGCCCTAAACCTAATCTGCGAGATCTGATTGGACGGAGCTCACGCCCGTCACTGGTAGACATCCGCTGCACTGGAGCTCTGCCATTGGCTCAGCCGTCTGACGAGTTATGATCGACACATAACCAAAACTGCATCGGAAATTAGACAATTACAATATTTTCTAAAAACATTTCATATTTTCATGTAGGTTATTATACGTTTTTATTTTAAATATTAAATTCGTCTATCATTCCATAAATCTAAGTTTTATTCATGCTGAAAACAAACTTGAAGAGACTGACCTCTGAAAATACAACAAACTCCAGCCTATGAAGAAGACTGTGAGCTATGGCTAAAAGCTCCAGACAATAAAATTCCAAGTTGACCTGAAATTGTGATTTTTTTAAAAAAATTCTGCCTGAAAGTGAACAACTTCTAAACTAAAGAAACATAATTAAGCAACAAAAAAAAAAAAAAAAATTAATAATAAATTAATTGGTGATGAAGATGTGAACGTGAATAACAGCAGTGAAATCTTTGTCGGCCTCTAGTCAACATCAGCAAACATAATAAAATGCATAAGGAGGCGATTTCTAAATATTTGGAAACATTTAAAATGGAAAAAAAGATTTAAAAAAAAAACATAAAACATGTCATAAAACAGTCAGACAGTTTATTTCAGCAGTTACTGAAATAAAATCATAAACCATTAAATCACTGATAGTATCCAGGAATGTAATGTTAAGCCGCTTATAACACAGGTTTGCAACCTGGCAATAACTGTATCTAGGTTGCCAGATATTTACCAAACAAGGCTGTCCATGATAGTTAGCACAGTCAGTCATAATTATGTGCTGCCATTAACTCTAAGTACAAAATATGACAAGAGAAATGATTTAATATACAAAACAAATGTATATACATTATGTACCAGGTGAATAATTGATCTTACATTTATTAAATGTGTTCACAATGTTTAAGTAAAACTACAAATAGTGCAACACCTGGCTAAACAGAGGCAGAGTATCTACTGAACATGAGAGAAACTGGGTGCTCCTTCATCAATGTCATTTCCAGGGCTGCAGTGCAATGATCAGTGAGACAGAGAGGTTGGGCTGGGCATTTCTCCAAACTGTGTCTCTGCCAACACTGACATGTCTGGTTCAGTCTGGGAAGAGAAGCAGAAACTAAGTCAACAGAAAATCAATTGTGCTTAATGACGATTATCTGCATTTTAAACCACCCACGCATCCAAAACTGTAAGTTCATCCAAACCACACACACACACACACACACACACACACACTGTAAACTGACCATTGTACTGATACACTGGAAGAGACAGCAGTGGTCCATCTTCACCTACCTGTTGGTCTTTATCCTTCTCTTGCCGTTGAATTCGGTGTCTCCTCCTCTTTGGTCCAGCAACATGATGCATTGCTGCAGGCAAAGTGGAGCCAGAGACACCGTTGAGCCGTTCATCCTCCACTCCTGCAGCAGCAGGATCAAAATGAGCTCCAGGCTCATCCTGAAAAAAAGAACAAGGAAAAAATTTAAAATGTAAAGGCATTAAACCAGCATGAGCACATTCATTTATTCTAATACATCAAACAGATCAGCAGACTGGCTGGGTAACTGCCCAGATAGTCTAATAGGGGTGCAGGAGAATATTGATACACTTGAGTATGGCATTGTTATGTTTTGTTTTCAGGTACCGCTTCCCACAAACACTATCAATTTTTGATTTTTTTTTTTTTTTATCTCAAGAACCAAGAATTACAGATACAGGCAATTTTAATTCCTTTGCTCAGATTGCACAAAAAGTAGTGTAATGATGTTAGATGTTGCAGGGACTGTGCTAAATACAGGTGCAGATCCCACAGATGTGATCGCACATATCATAATGTGGTTCTTATACTACAACAGTTTTTCTAAAACTAGAGTTTTAAAAAAATTGCTTTGTATTGCCTTGCTTACAGTATTGCAATATAGCACAATAACTTGAATCGTATCCAATCACACCTTTGAATCATTGCCAAATTCTTGCTAATACACAGGCGTTTATCCTAAGAGGATCCAAGCCCAAAATTGTCTGTGTGTGTTGGGTTTTGGTCATCTGAACTTGAATATCAACAAAATGGAGTTCTGCATTATTACCTGTTTTGGTGGCCCTGTCCTGTTGAAGGGTCCTGTGTCAAAATCTGGATTAAAGACCTTGATAACTTTTTTCACAGTGGACATTTTGACTTGCCATAGTAAGAAAACACAGGTATATCTGTGTCTATTATTTTACTTTACATTGTGCTCACATGCTTCATCTTCTAATTAAGGGGGCATACATTTTTGCCCCAGCCTCTCCACAGATTAGTCCACCAATGGTCAACTGCTATTGTTGTAAGTTAATATAATTTTATCCCCCTTAAATCTTTTTCTTCTTTTAAAACTATCACATACAGCCACTTGTTCATCTCATTGTCACCTCTAGAAGTATGGTGAGCTGGGCGTTTCTGTAGTCGTCCCCATGAGCATCTAAAGTCTTCATGAGAAACCTGCAAGATTAACAGAAGGTTAACAGACAGGCCATCAACTGGAAAACACAGAAATTAAGTTGCTGTAATGGGGTCTTTTACCGTCTCTCCTTCTTCAAGCGCCGTGTTATTCTTTGTACTTGATGAAGACGACCAAGAATCTTCTGATTAACCTAAAAAATGTCACATTTGAAAGGGTGGCAAGGGAGGAACTGATCACAGATACACTATCATATTTGGCTGATATGAGCTTAAAAAGTAATATCAGTACTAGACTAATATGTGATTGTTGAATTGGGATTTTAAGTAATGCTTTGTAAGTAATGTTTTTAGTAATGCTTACAAAAAACACATTTCTGAAAAGTAGCCTGTTGTGCGCCTGCAGTTGCAGACCTACAACAATCTTGTTAACGATAAGTGTTGGTTTGAAAAAAGTTTGTGGCTAGAAATGAAATTAGGAACTAAATGACAATAAACCCAAATATAACTCATATTTCTTACTCTAACACACTTATATGCATGCACACACCTGTTCAATTTCTTTACATCTCCTGTTCAGAGCCAGATATTTCCTCTTATCGAGAGCTCTCCTCTCTTCATCCTCCTGTGCTGTACTCTCCAGCAGCTCATTGCCTCCCGGGCCCAGCTCCACCTGGAGAGAAAAAATGTCAGTGTTTTCAGTGCGTTTCAAATGGAACAGTTGTCGCTTAATCTACTACAATTAACTTGTGTTGCCTAATAGTGTAGCAGTATTATTAGTGCAAAAAAAAAAAAAACACATTACAGACATCTACACTGCGAAATAATGGTGTCATTGTGTTCCTACTTTGATTTGAAATACCATTCTGTGTCATTAACGCATATGATACCAGTCAGAAATTACCGTCAACCCCAGCAGATCCTTGCTGCACCCACTAAGCTACATACATTTGACCACAGCTACACAAAACACTCTAAACTCAAATATAATTAGATAACATAATACAATATAATTAGAAGTGTCTGTCACAACTACGAAATAAGATTTTGGTAAGATTGTGGCGTGCATAGGTCACACTGATGGCATATTTCAATGAGATGTTGGCTTTTTAGGCCAATCCATGCAAAGAGGTGGTGTTGAAACTGGTAATATTTGGCACTTTTACATAACAGTATGTGCAATGCTTCTCATTTTATGGCACAGGGAGCACTGGGTACTTGATGACTCACATCAGCATCACCATTACCTTGACCATTAAAATTAACATTACCTCTCCTGGTCCCAGCTCCACACCACCAGGCTCCAGCTCTGCCTCCAGGATGTGTCCTCCAAACAGAGGAGGCAGAGCCAAACCAGAGAAATCCTCCATCATCTAGAGAAGAAGAGAGAGAAGATTCTGTTATTATAAAAAACACTTTTATAAAATAATTTATGCACATAAAATATATATGAGTACAAATTCACAATACCTCTGCCAGTTTTAATGATCATTTTTAGGAATGTATAGCCGTGGAAGAAGAAAAAGTTGCAATACAACTGTGTGAAATAGTCCTGCATTTAAATTCTTATTTAGGTAAAATTATTAGCATCAAAATATACTTAAAAGTATCAAAAGTAAAAGTGCTCAATATGCAGGATTCCCTATCTTAAAACCACATATAT